GACTTGACACTTGTCCATCATTTTAAGGCATTTCTGTTACAATACTGTATGTGAAAATTGATGTTGGATACTTGGATCTTTGGGTAAGGACTCCAGAGGAAAACAAAAACTATTACCTGCCCAAATGGCAAAATAAAACACAAAGAAAAGTGATAAAGCCAGAAAAACACCAGCTGCTGTACAGCGTCGTTTAATATATGTAAATTTCGTATCCAATTCAGTTTTCTTTTAAAAAACGGTATTTAGTACAAATGAAGCACAGAAAAAGAGTTTAATGCATCTTACCGGTAAAAAGAAGTGTTTCTTCTTGATGTTAAAGAATTGTGGCATCACGAAGCCATGCAAAAACTCTGCATTTTTTCTTGATGTTTTTTATATAAACATTCAGCAGAGTTTCAGCTTTTTGTGCAAAAACCAGGGGGGTGAAATCGTCGTCTGAAGCCGAGGATCGCGGTTGGTCAGTGGTAATTACCACGAGGATTTGGGACCAGTGGCGTCATTCTGGCGTCAGCAGACGTGAAAATCCGCCATGTTTTTGGTAGCCTGCATGGCAGGCGGTTCCTAAAATTGGGCAAGCCTGGGAAATACCCACTGAGCTATACTATATTACTGGAGGACCTGCTCGGGATAAAAAAGTGTCCGCAAAAACATGGCGGATCTTACGCCATTTCCATGACAACACTTACTTTATTTTCATGGTAATTGCCACTGACCAACCGCGATCCTAAGCTTTTGAAGATGTCCTTAACCCCCCTGGTTTTTGCACAGATATATTTAATAATATAAAGATATTTCAAGTTTTCTGTTGTTTTTGAGCAAAAATCTTAATATTTCCCTCGCACATTACTTGTTTTACAACGCCGGTTTGCTTCGCTTGTGGATGCAGCTCTTTACTACAGAGAAACTAAAAAGAAAGACTATAAATTCTTTCAGGTAAGATTCACAAAACTTTTTTGTATTAAACTTTCTAGACGACTAGCTAGTCTGAGACTCTGAGTCACTCAGTCCACTAGACCCTTCATATTATGTCAAAAACTCATCATCCTATTAATATATACAGCAAATATTTCATACATAAAAATATTGTTAATGATTAAATATTGTGTACTACATGAAATTATGTTGTTTTCAGTGTCAGCACTGGCCTGCCCTTTGTGGTTTTAATATTGCCAGACTGCCAGTTTTTAATTACTTGTATAAATTGTGGTTGTTTACATGTTCATAAAGGTTTAATATGGTGTGAAATTTATATACTTGCCCATCATAACGCAGAATTAGTATATATAGATAAGCACAAGACTAGAGAGACTTGAGTAGAGGAGGCCCACCTACATTTGACAATGTGCCCTGTCCTAGCTGATGAGCCCTATATAAAAGACAGTCTTTATTATTTTACTCTGTTTGTCTAATGCCAGATGATATTAAGAGGAGACCGCTCACTGCTGCCTCGCAGTGGGTCAATTTAATACACTATCTGCCAATGAGCAGCCCCTGAGATATATAGTCAGCCCATTAAGATGCAATGCACCCAAATGAACCAGCTACTTTCTTACTGGGACTGCAGAACAGGGGGGCCATGCCCCCCCCCCCACTTTTTCAGTGGATAAAAATTACTGGATAAAATCTGGACAGCCTGCCTATGTGAAATAGCTCCTGACTCATGCTATCCTGTCCCCCCCCCCCCCACACACACACACCTTTAAACAGGCTCCACAGTCCCTGTTTTATTTTACTCTATCGGTGAGACTAAATCCAGTTGTTTTATTCATCAAGAGAAGAGTCTTAAAAAATAGATAACATTTTACATTACATAATTTGTCTATTCAGAACTATTAAAACTTTGTAGTTTTACACGTAGTATATGATCTCATAGTTACTTGCAAGAACATACAAATTTCTAACATTGGAGAAGGTGATGTGCGATTGCTCTGTGAGAAATTATGACAAAATTTGCTAATAATAGTTTGACATATTTTAGCAGTTAGTTGGGAATGTAATTGCATTGCTGAATATGGAAACATGACACTTAATTTAGAAGCTCAGATTAATGATCTTGGTAAAAACAGATCATGTAATTGCACTCTCCCCTTGACTAGTAAAATTGTCTGACATAATACAGTAAGACAAAAATAAAACAGTGAGGCACATCAAAACACATTGCCACTTGAAGGGTTAACATATGTGTATATGATATTTTGTGGTGTAAAGATGTATAATGTATCATGATAATAATGTCGTCTTTTATTTTGTAGAAATGATCTGTTTAATATACAAAAGAGATGGCACAGGCATCAACATGCAGAAGAACATGCAGAACAATTACAAAATGAAGTTATAATTATAATACCATGCATAACAATTAATTATAATTAATAAATAATTATATGATTATCATAACTTTATTGAAGTGTAAATAAGTTTTATAGCAATTAAACTTATACATTTTTGTTTTTTAAATTGTTTGCTGCTAACAATTTTACAAAAAGACACCTTACACCCTTCCAGAATGTATGTCATTTTGGCTATGGAGCCTTGTTTTCATGTATGTGGCATGAGTTTTAGTCCAGAGTCATGAAAATGACTCTATAGCCTATAGCCAAGGTGACATAATTTCTGGAAGCATGTAAAATACAGTATGTTCAGTTTCCAAAGATGTGGCTTGGTACTGTATTTTGCCACCCACAAAGGAGTGTGTCATTGTGGAATAAATCTGCAATAAAAAAGAATAGATGAATTATACAGGTTGTACAAGAATCCACCAGTAACATAATTATAGCATATGATCAAGGTAAACAAAAGAATGTGACCTAACATACTCCTCAGCTTAAACCAGGGGTATCAGAACTATGAGTGTACTTAATATAAAAGTACATTATTTATTCAGAGTGATATTTACTGAGAAAACTTGTAAGAAAACAGGCCATCCTGGGAATGAGGTGTGATCACACATGTATGCCTTGGCACATACCTCAGCTAAACCTTATTACCTCAGCTTAGGGAGAAGTGTGATTTATCTCAAGCCTCTATATTACTATTTATATGACACAAAAATGAAGAAGTATCCCCAACCATGCAAGAAAGCTAGGTAGAAACTACCTTCCCAGATCAGCTTCTAGCAGCCAGCTTATACATAAGTGGACTGCATAACACAAAACCTAATTCCCTCTTTTAAAAATAGTCTGATAATAGATGTCAAATAAGATATAAGTCTAAATTGAATATGAAAATACGTTTTTTACCTTTGTAAATCCGAGTGTAAATCCATATATTTCAAGAGTCGTCTTTTCCCACATTTCTTGAGTTTTTAAAATTGGTTTGTCGTCTTTCACGGGCGATATTAAACACGTACCACTTGGATATCTTTGACCAAATGGTCAAAGGCAGAAAGTTTATCTCGAAAACATTTTAAAAAAGGATTCAAAACAACGAGAAGTCGAGAACTATATATATGATCTGCAAAAATGTTTTGCAAAAACCAGGGGTGTGTGAAGACTGCCGTGGGCTCAAAATTGAGCCTAGTCAGTGGTAATACTACTATGAGAATAAAGTAAGTGTTGTCATGGAAATGGCGTCATTTTTCATCAAAATCCGCCATGTTTTTGCGGACACTTCGTTGACTGAACGAAGTATAGGAGCAGGTCCTCCAGTTATTATACAGCTCAGTGGAATATTCTTAAAAAATTATCGTGTTACCATGACAACTACTTCAGATACTTCATGTTCGGAAAATACAATGGTTTTGTCTGTTTGTCAGCAAGGCGAGGGTTTCTGCATGCATGTATTTTCTAGTATTTTTTATAAATAAACATGCAAATATAAATAGACCCCTTGTGTGTTTACCTGGATAAAAATGTGTTTACCTGGATAGCCAATTTTAGAAAAGCTTATGTTACCCAATAGTTCCCTTTCAAAGAAATAGTGCTTTCAACTATTTCTTGCCATCCCAGAAATGTAAGCAAGACAAATAGATTACCTATGCCATTGTCAATGGCCAATGCCGGTGATGCTATGTGTTTTACTGTTTTTGTTATTGGGGCATTCCAGAAAACATCCATACCACCTCCACAGAGGAAATAGGAAGTTAACCCCCCTACCCCCTTCGGATGTCCTAATACATTTACTATTATCAGAAACAATTTTTTCTCCCCTCCCCCTCCGGACGGCAGAAATTTCCTCCATGGGGGGAGTATGGATCTTTTCTGGAACGACACATTTTTAGCATGCATATCATGTTGTGTTTGAATTGGTAACACACCATAATGCATGGTTAACAATCCCCCGGGGTTACAATCCCCCAGGAAATGTACACTGACAGTTCCCGGGGGTGGGAATTTAATTGAGCGTCTGGTCCCAGGGGTAAGGGAATATAAATGTTCACACACAAGGGGCTTTGGTCCAGCCCGCAAAAATATTGTCCCTGGGATGCGAAATTAGCTTTCTTTATTTGCCCAGGGGTGGGGAATTGACATTTTGGAATTAAAAAGCCCGCAAATCCCTGGGGGTTGCCCAGGAAATGGTAACAGGAAGGATTGAATCATGCATAATGTGATTGTCTAAATTTTATTTGTTCCCAGGCAACAACACGGTCAGGTGACAAGTTAGTTACAAGGAAATACAATGCAAGGACAAGGCAGTGGGATGTCAAAGTTTTAAAAGTGGCTAAGGGCTATGAGTATATACCAGTGCTAACATAAAAATATTAAGAAGGAGAAATGATGATACAGAGTTTGTGACACATCTTGTTGCCCTTAATACGAGTGATCCTGCTTTAATTTCACCAACTATCGCTCACATATCACCACCACTGACAAAAGAAATTGCGGAACGTAGAAGCAGGTTCACAAAGGAATAATTAGGTTGGCTTGAAATAGGGTCATTCCAGAAAATATCCAAACCTTGCCACACCCACAGAGGAAACGGGGAGTTAACCCCACTCAAAATTTGATGTCATGGCACATTGTTATATATATCACATCGGGACAGCAAAACTTTGCTTCATGGGGGTGGTGCAGATATTTTTCTGGAATGGCCCATTGCTATAAATGTACAAGCTGCTGTTTTAAAAATGATGGTGAAATGTGGCAGTATTTGAACCACATACTGTGTTTCAGATCACTATGTTGCATGTATAATAAATTCATATTTTAAATAACAAGAAATTTACAATATAAATATGAATATGTAACAATGAATATGAAGTTTTTGGTGTTACTCTGAGTGTATATCCACATCATGTAGGCTGAAAAATAATGCCTGGTCACAGAGGGAATCGAACCTACTACCTTTGGAGTACTAGCCCAATTAATGCTCTGCCAATTGAGATAGAATAGTTAGAGAATGTGATATTTTTTAGGCATATTTTCATGCATATTTTCATACAAAAAATCATGAATATGTAAATATGTAACATTTTAACTTCTCATTGTGTTCCTACATCCCATGTAAGTTTCAGTGATAAATATAGCTTTTATACTGTGGATTTTAAATAGCATAATATAAAAATTTCAGCTTTCTCTATATCCCAACTCTTGGATATTCAACCCCTTCATTCCCTTAGGTATACCGTTTTCATTTATTGTTCATGCAAACTTCTAAATGTTTGCAACTGTTTTTGACTGCAAAGGTATATCTTTTGGTAAATAATTACATTATATGAAGACACAAAGTGGACAGAATTGAATCTAACTGTTATTGCATATTGTTATCTGTATTTGTTTATATTATGCACCTATCAATGTTAACCCCCAGAGGGGGGGGGGGGGCATATTTTGTGTATTTGATCATCAATTGCATCCTCACCCTGGGGATTTTGATTAGCATTTTGGCCCCGAGTTGGGGCAATTTGAACCGAATGACTTTTATTAATATAGTATTTATTGCAATTTATTGCAAAATGGTGGGGCATTTGACCAATATTTATTGCCCGACGGTGGGGCATTTGATTGAAAATTTGCTCAAAAAATAAAATGCCCCACCTATGCCCGACCCCCCCCCCTCTGGGGCTTAACATTTTAGGCATTAAGATGAATAACAATGGTAATTTCATTTTAGCTCTTAAACAGTTGAGCGAAAAAGCCCTCCACGCACTATACAGTATGAGAAGACGACTCAATATACACCATCTTAACCCAAAATCTGCTATTAAAATTTTCAATCGAATTATAAGCCCCATCCTTCTTTACAACTCTGAAGTATGGGGTGCATATGTAAAAAACGATTTTAACAATTGGGACAAGTTACCTATTGAAAAAGTCCACCTTAGATTCTGCAAACTATATCTAGGTGTTGGTAAAAAGCTAGCAATATCGCCTCAAGAGGTGAACTTGGAAAATTCCCTCTAATTATTAATATCTTCAAAAGACTTTTCAAGTACATCACTCATTTGAACTCTTTATCGGAAACAGCAATTGCCAAACAAGCTTTCCTAATCTCAAAAGATTTGTTTACTAAACAGAAGACTTCTTATTATGGAAAAGCAATGGATATTTTGAAAGCATTTAATTTTAACCTCAACACAGAAATCACTGACTTGGAATCAATCACAACTGAACTTATTCAACCTATTACCAAACGTCTTAAGGGAGTGGTCATTATTTATGGGGAGGGGTGGTTGGGAAATGGGGAAAATAAGGATTGAAAACTTTTTTGACCCCGCCTCCAGATTGAAGGCAAACTTTTTGTGCATCCCCCCTCATAAAAGTAGAAACTTTTCTGACCCCCCCCCCCAGTGGGGATTAAAAAATGAACAGCAATGAAACAGGTGTGCGTTGCAGGTAAAGTTAGATATTAGGACAATCTGTTTAATCTAGCTCATGATGTTTTACCCTGGTGAATAAGATTCAACCATATATGATTAAAAAATATATATTATGTGTTACTACTTTGCAATGCAACATTTGTCCTACCATAACCCTAACCCATGACCCGTCTTCTTACAGCGAAATGATTTGAACACAGGGTTTTTTTAAGAACTTGTCTGGGGGGTGGGCATCTACAAAAAGGGACCATACTATATTGAGTGTGGAGAGATGACAGATGGTTGTTGGTGACAAATAGTTTGGTGTGGTATCGTATGTACTTCTCGCCCAGAAATTTTTTTGTATTTTTCCACCCCTAGAACTGAAATGTGAGCATTTTCTGAAACAGATTTTTGGATATACAGCGTTACATTGTGTGTTGATAGACCGAATCCGATCAGTTAAGTGTACTTACAGGCTATGTTTATGTAAATACCACAACTGAGCCACTCAGGCGGTAGAAAGCTTGTTAAACTTAGTGGGCCTGACTCCAACGATCGCGAGGCGCTACCATGGTTGGCGGCGAGCAGGGAAATTTTGAAAATTTTGAGTCTCTAGATCGTTGGAAATAGCATTTTCAGAGTCTTCTTTTTTGCTATTTGTGATTATAGAAATCAGAACTCTAGACATGGTATTTAAGTTCAAAAACTTTTATGACCCCCCCCTTTCTCTGTGTTAAAACTTTTTTGACCCCCCCCTATTTATAAGGGTAAAACTTCGTTGGCCCCCTCCCTCCCATTTCCCAACCCCCCCTCCCCATAAATAATGACCACTCCCTAAAGAAAATTACCTCACATTTTGGAAACACAAACTTGAAAATTCCTCGAAACTAACCTTTTATTCAACCATCAAGATAGATTACGAACTAGAAAAGTACTTATCTACAATAAAAGACTCAAACAAAAGGAAAACCTTAACACGATTCAGATTAAGTAACCATAGCCTTCAGATTGAAACTGGTAGATACCATAATATAGCCTGAGAAGAACGACTGTGTAACAAGCCCGTAGTTGGCTCTCAATTTCTGGGGGGGCACTCACTGCAGAAAAAATGTAACAGACGGAAAAAAATTTTTCCGGAATTTATTTTGTCGACCTCCCCCCCTGTCGCCAAAAAAATTTCGGTCAGTGTACCATTTTAGGGGTCAAAAATTTTTTCCCGACATACCAATTTTTCCGGACACACTCAATTTTTCCGAAACCTAACAAAATTTTTCAAAAATCACAAAATTTTCCACAAATTTTACATAATTTTTTCCATTATTACAATTTGTTTCCAGGCCCTTTCTCTAAATTTTTCATATCCAATTTCCGAGTGGGGGGGCACTGGGGGGCACTGCCACACCGAGTGAGGGGGCATTGCCCCCCCAGACCCCCCCCAGCTACGGGCCTGCTGTGTAACCTTTGTCACTCGGGAGAAGTCGAAAATGAATCTCACCTCCTCCTCACTTGCGAGGCTTACGGTGACACTCGAGTAAACTTTATAAACAGTCTAAAAAACGCCTCACTACTACTGAGACAAACTTAAACGAACCAACTTTATCAGTTGACATAATGAAGTCAACTGCTAGTAACACCATCCTGAAATTATCGAAATTTATTTTTTCGTGTTTTGAGGAAAGACTTAAACAACTTGAAGCCGGGAATGCTGGTAGTCATTAGTTAAACTTTCCATCCTGTAAATAGTATCTTCTTATAGTCTACTTCTTAAATATTTTCATATGTTACATTGTTACGTTATAGTTAAGCTTTAGCAATACCTGTAAAATATGGTCATGCTAATAAAGCGATTATCAATACAATAACATTGATAGGTGTATTAATATTCGTGATTGTATATTAATAAACTACAAGTGAAATACAACTATGAGCCTATATATTACCCTATATAATACAAATCACGATAAGATCTACCTTAACGTCTTCGTTTTCCTTTTCTCAGATTCCACAGCATTGTTGCTTAAGCGAAAACCTGTCGCTTTCGTTTTTCGCCGGCTCTTGCCTCTGCCATCTCGCTCTCGATTTTCTGCCATTGTCTATAAATACAATAAACACAATGAAATAATATATTGTCAAATCGAAGGCTGTCATACTGAACAAATAAACAACAAACAAGATGGCATGTAGTAAAAGAAGGAACACCGGAATGGCGGAATACCGGAATGGCGGAATACCGGAATGGCGGAATACCGGAATACCGGAATGCCGGAATACCGGAACATCGTTTTCATTTTGACGGAAAGTTAAAAGGAAGTATTTTAAATCCGATCTGTAAAAGGAATTTAAATATATTTATAAGGGCTATAAACAGGCAAAAATTACAGGAACCACTGAGTATTTTAAGTATGAATACAAACGCGAAAAAAGTTGTCCTCACTGGAATGGGATAAAGATCTGCTCCCATACCATCGCTGCGGCTGAATCGAATAGAGATTTAT